AAAGAGATAATGTTAAAAACTTCCAGATAATAAACCAAATTATCTATAATGGAACCACATTTAGATTGACAAAAGAGGTCAACAATGGCCAGAGGCATATGGGAAAAACAACTGTTAATCTACGATTTTATACCCACTCCTAGAGTAAAGGCAAAACAAAGACAAATCTAAAAAGAATAGGCTTACCATCTCATACTCATACTAAACAACCATAAAAGGATGTCCTTCAGCAAGAAAATAAAATCTGAGTGGGGAAATAAAACATGTAGGACCAAAGAAGTGATACTGAACACAGAAGTGTATACAGTTAAGTCAATAAATATGATTCACTATTTATTTTAAAAATGTACTAATTTATGTATATTGAGTAAAAAGGGAAAAATATAAGCTAAATGAAATAAAATGATTGCTGGTAAAGGTGGTGGTAGCAAAATATTTGAAGTCCTCATCATGCTTTGTAAATTAAGCACACTAAACTATACACACTGATAGAAAAATATTTAAAGGGCAGGTGTTGTGGTACAGTGAGTTAAGCCACTTCTTGGGTGCCTGCATCCCATATCCAGAATGCTGGTTTGAGTCCCTTTTGTTCCACTTCCAATCCAGCTCCCTGCTAATGTGCCTGGGAAGCAGTGGATGATGGCCTGCCTGCCACTCACGTGGGAGACCCGGATGAAGTTCTAGGCTCCCAGCTTCCACCTGGCTCAGCCCTAGCTATTGTGGTCATTTGGGGAGTGAACTAGCAAATGGAGGATCTCTCTCATTCAATCTGTCACTTTCAGTCTCTGCCACTCTGCCTTTCACATAAATACATTTTTAAAAAAATTTAAAGATACCCGCACGCACACAAAAAAAGAAGTGCATTATGACATTATGTTGTACTCAAAATCAACACAGGGAGAATGAAAGAAGACTAAAAGAATGAAGATAGGTGATACTAATTTCAGGTTTTAATGAAAATAGAGGGACTGGTGCTGTGGCATGGTGGGTGGGGCTGCCGCCTCGGTGCTGGCATCCCATATGGGTGCTGGTTTGAATCTCGGCAGCCCCACTTCCAATCCAGCTCTCTGATGTGGCCTGGGAAAGCAGTGGAAGATGGCCCAAGTCCTTGGGCCCCTGCACCTGCGTGGGAGACCTGGAGGAAGCTCCTGGCTCCTGGCTTCGGATCGGAGCAGCTCCAGCAGTTGTGGCTATCTGTGGAGTGAGCCAGCAGATGGAAGACCTCTCTTTCTGCCTCTGCCTCTCTGTAACTCTGCCTTTCAAATAAATAAATAAATCTTTAAAAAAAGAGAGAGAGAGAGAATAGAAAGCAAAAAAAAAGAAAACCCTGATTTCTAATCCTAACAACAATCTGTCAATTAAAGTCATGGTTATTAAATATATACTATGTAGCATTTACAAAAAGGAAAAAAAAGTGTTGGGGAATTAGTGTGAGCAAATGGAATCAGCATGAACTTAGTGAGAACTTTTACTAGTCTAGCATTATTCTCCACCCTATTTTTTGGTTTGGTTTAACTTCCTAATGTTTTTTAATGTTTGTTAGTTTCAAAAAATATTAAGAAAATATAAACAGCAGGGGGTAACATGTTAGCATATTACTGTGTTGTTGCTGCTGCTGCTGCCTCTCAGCCTGCTATGTTAACAGACAAAAAACAGGACATAAAGAAGACACAGTGAAAACACCGCCAGACTCCAACACTGGAACCCTGAATATCCAGACTTACAAGGAGATGGTACCATGGCATGCCTAGGTATTGAGGCCTTCATGTACAATAATTGCATTTTGCATCCTCATTTTGCTATTTACTGGATGCCAAAAGTTATCTTGGCCAAGTGACTCTAATTTCATTTTTCTAATCTCTGCATGTATAAGACACAGGGAATGGAGGGTTAACCAGTCATGTTGTCATATGATCTAATGTCCTTCTCTCAGCTTGAAATTTTATGAATCTAAACAAAAATGACATGAATTGCAACTAAGTCACAGAGAATATATTTGTTGTGTCTCTAGACGAGACAAAACTGAAAGACTAATAACAGTACAGAATGAAAAAGACGGGGCTGGCACTGTGGTGCAGCGAGTTAATGACCTGGCCTGCAGCACTGGCATCTCATATGGGCACCTGTTCAAGACCTGGCTGCTCCACTTCCAATCCAGCTCTCTGCTATGGCCTGGGAAAGCAGTGGAAGATGGCCCAAGTCCTTGAACCCCTGCACCTATGTGGGAGACGCGGAAGAAGCTCCTGGCTCCTGGCTTCGGATTGGCACAGCTCCAGCCATTGTGGCCCTCTGGGGAGTGAACCAGCGGATGGAAGACCTCTCTCTCTCTCTCTCCTCTCTTTGTGTAACTATTTCAAATAAATAAATAAATCTTTTAAAAAATGAAAAAAATCAAACTACATCAGCATAGGCTAAAAATCACCATCGTAAGTTAAACAGAGATAAATAAAGACCTGAATTTAGATTAAGAAAAAATATTCTACACAAATGTAGGAAAGAGCAGACTTGGTCTGATTAAAAAAAAAAGCCAGGTTTTTAGCATATTCTCCATGGACCAATAGAATGAAGGGGTTATTGGACTAAATGAATGAACTCTCAGACCAGAGTAGCAGAAGCAGTGCTTTACAGGAAGACAGGCATGAATCATACTAGTGTGCACAGGTCAGATTACATGTAGAATATTGTGGGGCCAGTGTTGTGGCAGAGCAGGTAAAGCCACTGCCTGCAATATCGGCATCTCATATTGGTACCTGTTTTGAGTCCCTGCTGTTCCACTTCTGATCCAGCTCCCTGCTAACAGTCAGGGAAAGCAGCAGAAGATGAACCAAGTGCTTGGGACTCTGCCATCATGGCTACAGCCTGGCAAAGCCCTGGCCATTGTGGTCAAAGATGGCCCAAGTACTTGGGGGCTTGCATCCACATGGGAGACATGGAAGAAGCTCCTGGTTCCTAGCTTTGGCCTTGCCTAGCCTTGGCTGTTGCGGCCATCTAAAGCGTGAACCAGCAGATGGAGAATCTCTCTCTCTCTGGAACTCTGATTTTCAAGGAAATAAATCAATTTTAAAAAAAAGCAATTTTGAGAGCTATCTTCAACCAGAAGTTAGGAAGCTATTGGTAAAGGAGACAAGAGGGGCCCACGCTATGGCGTAGTGTGTAAAGCTGCTGCCTACAGTGCTGGCATCCCATATGGGCACCGGTTCAAGTCCCAGCTGCTCCATTTCTGATCCAGCTCTCTGCTATGGCCTGGGAAAGCAGCAGAATATAACCCAAGTGCTTGGGCCCCTGCACCAATGTGGAGACCTGAAAGAATCTCCTGGCTCCTGGCTTCAGATTGGCCCAGCTCTGGCCATTGTGGCCATCTGGGGAGTGAACCAGCAGATGGAAGACCTCTGTCTCTACCTCTCTGTAACTCTGTCTTTCAAATAAAATAAACAAATAAATCTTTAAAAAAAAAAGGAGACAAAAAAAGGCTTTCACATCAGGTAGAAGTTAAGACCCAGTGACTTCTGTCCCTGAGGACTTTTTCAGGTCTGAGATACCTACAATTCTAAACCACTAACTTTCTCCCAGGTAAGGAAAAAGAGAGCACCTTGCTGCTACTATATATAGTTAACCACTACTACTACTGCTACTTCTACTACTACTACTGTTACTACTATAGATAACATTTAAGTGCATATTCTGTGTGTCTAGTGCTGTGCTAAGCACTCTCCAGAGAAGGATATACAGAGGGGAAGAAGGCTCATAGGATTCTTTTTTTTTTTTTTTTTGAAAGGCAGAGTTAGACAGTGAGAGAGAGAGACAGAGAGAAAGGTCTTCCTTCCATTGGTTCATCCCCCTAAAGGCCGCTATGGCCAGTGCACTGGGGCCGGAGCGTTGTGCCAATCTGAAGCCAGGAGCCAGGCACTTCCTCCTGGTCTCCCATGCGGAGACAAGCAGGGCCCAAGCACTTGGGCCATCCTCCACTGCCTTGCTGGGCCACAGCAGAGAGCTGGACTGGAAGAGGAGCGACCAGGACAGAATCTAGCGCCCCAACCGGGACTAGAACCCGGGGTGCCGGTGCCGCAGGTAGAGGATTAGCCAAGTGAGCCACGGCGCCAGCCAAAGGCTCATAGGATTCTAAGTTCTGAAAGTGTTAAGATGTTTTAATACATAGACCAAGTTTTCCACAAATGATTCTATCCACACAAAAAGGGGTTGAAAAGAGGCACATTACAGTAGTTATGGGAGGGACTGAAATAACTAATATTCTTCATGCTCTAGGAATAACAGCTAATAAAGTGAGTGATCACATTGTTATCAGGCACTCCAGGAAATGAGCTTCAGTAAATTTCAGGTCAATTATGTCCTTGCACATTGCATGGTAGCCATTTCAAAATTTATTGTACAGAAATGCTTATAAGAAATGTATGAGATTTTTTTCTTGGACTTTATAAATTAATGCTTCTAATACAAACTTACCATATCCTATAAACTTGGGCTGACTACTGTAATTTACAAACAGGCTTGAAAAAAGTGTTTCTAGTGATAACTGGCATCCATCTCCTCACTTTCTTTCCCACAACAAAAAGTGACACAAAATTTATTTTTATGGGGAGACAAGTGAAGACTTGCTCTGCTTTCTTGTGTCTAGTGTTTCCCTGTGGAACACTGGAAGTATTTTAGTTATAAAATTCAGAATTTCCAAACTGAAAGAAATATTGGAGAGAAATTCAATATCTTCATAACACTTTAGGGATAGAGCACCTTACATTGCAGAGTGGTCAAGTAATGTGTCCAAGTAACTGGTACAAGAATCGAGGAACCAATATAATCCAGGTTTCCTGGGAGTCTTGACCCCCATCTGAGACCCAGTTCATTCCACTCAACTGATATGAAGAAAATGCAATTGTTTGAGTCCCATATATTAAGATTTACCAGAAAAGGTGTTGAAAACACTGTAATTTCCCATTAATTTTGAATATTTGCTGTGTTATCCACATTGACTGAAAAGAACTTACTTCTAATGCATAATATACTGGTTTGTCTCTGCCAAGTTTATAAGCCACTGTGGTCAGAAGGCCATGTTCAGAAAATACGCACTGTAGAAAGACAAAACATAAATATGAAAGAATGCATTAAAAAAAGTTTAAAAATAAATCTGTTATTTTTAAGTTTTAATTAGTTTTTAACAGATTCAATGTGCTTTGCACATACAATTCTAAGAACATAATGATATTCTCTTCTTCCCTCCCTGCCTTCCTTCCTCCCTCCTCCTTCTTCTCTCCCGTCGACCCTCTTTTCTTCTTTGTTTCTTTCTGTTTTATTTTTTTAGTTTTTGAGATAACATATTTTAAAATTACATTACAGGAAAAAGGCTTAATACTTTACCAAATAAGTTTAACAAGCAAAAAACAAAGAGACCCTAGTTTAATGGGAATATAGATAATAGTATAAATAATAATTAAGTGGAAAAATGACCATTTCACCCATATATACTAAGTTTTAAGTAATCACAGATCATTAAAACTATAGTAGCATAACATTCTTAACCACTGGTTTGACAAAGGTATAAAAGTCTCCCAAAACTATATTTGCAGCAATACTGATATACACAGACATTTATTTTTTTGTTAATTTTTAAAAATTTTAGCTCCCAGGGATACAGGAAAGTACTATCAAGAGGGAAGTTTATAGCATTAAGTGCTTACATTAAAAAAGAGAAATGTCTCAAATTAAAGATCTAATGATGCATCTTGAAGACTTAGAAAAACAACAAACCAAACCCAAAATCAGCAGGTGACAGAAATAAGAATCAGAGCAGAAATCAAGGAAATTGAAACTAAAAAAAAGATCAAAACAAAAAGTTGGTTTTTTTGAGAAGATAAACAAAATAGATAAACTTCTAGCCAGACTAACAAAGAATAAAAGGGAAAAAAACTCAAATAAAATTATAGATAAAAAGGGGACATTACAACTAACACCCCTGAAATACAAAGGATCATAAGAAATGGCCATGAAGAACTATATGCTAATAAACTGGAAAATCTCAAAGAAATGGGTAAATTCCTGGATTCATATAACCTACCAAGATTAAATCAAGAAAATATAGACAATCATTCAAATCTTATGATTTTCATCATTGTTATTGAGCTCTCAATTAAAACTTCATAAAGACTAAGAAAAAGCTAGACTCAAAAGTAACTTATAGCAACTTATGCTCAAATAGTATTTACAAACTTAAAAGATACTCATCAATCTTTAAATTTGAAAAAAACCTACCTTATGACCTGTATTACATAGTAAGAAACAACCTGTTCCGTACCTGTAGGTGGGTCAGGAGGGAGAGAGAAAATGAACAGTATGACAAATTTATTGAAAGCAAATGATAAAATATTAATACAAATGATCTAAACTGACACACAATTTACTACAACAAAAGGCATTATATGAAAGTTTAGGAAAAGTACTAAAAGTTAACAAGCATAATACACTCTTTATGGAAGAATGTTTTAGAAATCAGTCCTAAAGGGGCTGGTTCTGGGATATAGCAGGTAAATTCGCATCCTGCAATGCCAGCGTTCGATATGGGCAACAGTTTGAGTCCCAGCTGCTTGACTTCCAACCCAGCTCCCTGCTGATGTGCCTGGGAAAGCAGCATAAGATGGCCCAAGTGCTTGGGTCCCTATGCCCACATGGGAGACATGGATAAAGCTCCTGGCTCCTGGCTTCAGCTTGGCTCAGCACTGGCTGTTGTAGCCATCCTCTCTCTCTCTCTCCTTCTCTCTCCGTAACTCTTTCAAATAAATAAGTATTTTTTTTTTAGAAAGAAATCAGTCTAGACAAAAATGTACTTAGTATAACATTAATGGAAATTAGCATTTAGTCAGTCACAGCCCAGGGCTGTATTTATAAAGTGCAATTTGAATATTCCACATCTGAAATGCTTGGGACTGAACGTGTTTTAGATTTGGGAGCTTTAGGATTTTGGACTGTTTGCATAGATTTTACCAGTTGAGTATCCTTAATCCAAAAAACCAAAACTTTTTGATCATCCTGCAGGAACTCAAAAAGTTTCAGATTGTGGAGCATGTTCAGTCATAGTGATTTTACTATCAATGCATGTGGAGTGAAGTTTTAGGACCATCAGCCGGTGAGGAGGCTAGGTGCAGAATGCTGAGAGAGTGTAGCCCAGACTAGAGTGGCATAAAGGGGAAAGACTATTGGAGGCCTACCTTTCCCATTCTTTCTGCAGAATAGGTGAGTATAATGGTGGCGGGAAGAGCCAGGATGTAATTCAGCTGATATGGAAGAACTGAATTTATTTTGTGGCAGCCTTATTGCTATAATCTTTGGACTCTGTAACAAGTCTAGCACTTGAACATTAATGCGTACTTTTGACTTGAGCCAGACAGATAAGCATTCCAAGCTGATACCAATAAGAGTCACAGAGAAACAGTTTTAAAGTGAGTTGGGATAACAAGGCTGTTATGTCCTCTTTGGCTCTGCTTAAGTTCATTTTCTTTCCCCAGAGGCCTTGCTGCTGTGTTCTGTGCCCCTGGTTCTAACTGTGTTAGTGACATTCCAGCAGGGGGGATAAGGGACAGTGCTCAGTCCAGAAGCAGGCAGAAGGATCCCAGAAGAACCTACTACCACTCAGCACTTAGTCAACAGATCCTATCAGCTACACTTATCTTGTGCAACAAATACAAGCCTAGGACAATTTTTTCTGATAAACATTTTTCTAGGCATCATTATTCTGAATAAGGATTAGTCCAAGATACTCTGTATCTTCTGACCCACATTATCCTTGGCCTGCTTGATAAACAGGTGACAAGTTCAGAAAGTGGCAGAGTAATGCATATTCAAGTTTGTAAAGTGTCAAATAACAATAGGCACAGGTTTGTAAGCTAAAGCACCTAACTCCCTATACCTTCTTGCTACAACACTGACAAATGTATACCTTTCAAGGGCTATCTTTCATTAAAAGGATGTTAATTATGCTTTTTACAGGAGAAAGCTGTACCAAGTTAGTGCCCAAATAAATACTCTCTATACTGAGAGGCTTTGTACAAATACATACACACACACACACACACACACATACATATTATATATTTAAAATTTATTTAAAATGCAGAGAAAGACAGAGATCACCCATCCACTGTTATATTCTCCAAATGCCCACAACAGCTAAGCCCGGGCCAGGCCAAAGCCAGGAGCCAGGAACTCAATCCAGGTCTCCCATGAGTGACAGGGACTCAATTACTTGAGCCATTGTCACTGCTTCTCAGGATGCACATTAGCAGGTGACTAGAATTGGGAGTAGGGCCAGGACTCAAACCCAGCCACTATGATATGGAACTTGGGTATCCCAAGCAGCATCTTAACCACTGCACCAAGTACCTGCCCCATATACAGTCTTAAAATAAAAAATTGTTAAGAAGGCTCAAGACACTTAACAAAAGTAAATTCTTAAATTAGTATACTTAGTAAGTACTTAATGCACATAAATCAATGCATCAAGATGACTTCATTGCTACATTTAGGCCACAGCTTTCAGAGCAGTACACAGGCAATTATTTTCCTCTGAAATTTTATTATCTTTTCTTTCCAGTTTTCAAGCATACAAAGAGCTTTCAGAATTTATGTGTTCTGGCTGGTGCCGCGGCTCACTTGGCTAATCCTCTGCCCGTGGCGCCGGCACCCTGGGTTCTAGTCCAAGTTGGGGTGCCGGATTCTGTCCCGGTTGCTCTTCTTCTTCCAGTCCAGCTCTCTGCTGTGGCCCGGGAAGGCAGTGGAGGATGGCCCAAGTGCTTGGGCCCTGCACCCCATGGGAGACCAGGAGGAAGCACCTGGCTCCTGGCTTTGGATTGGTGCAGCACACCGGCTGTAACAGCCATTTGGGGGGTGAACCAACAGAAAAAAGGAAGACCTTTCTCTGTCTCTTTCTCTCACTGTCTAACTCTGCCTGTCAAAAAAAAAAAAAAAAAAAAAGAATGTATGTGTTCTACTAGGCCTTCAACAACCAGGCGGTCAACCAAATGCTGCTACAGGGATATACTCGGCTCCCCACCCAGGAGACAGTGGCTTGAGACATCGCCCCATGCCAGCAGAGAGTACCTCATCGCCCCATGTCAGCAGGAAGTAGCTCTAAAGACAGATCATCATCCCTCTACCCCTCCTGCACTTTTTGGGCTAATGTAATCCCATACAACTCCTGCTTTATAAAAAACAAAAGGGGGGAATGTTAGTAAAATGGCACAGTCCTGACCCAGAAGAAGCTCTTGGCTACTGGCTTTGGATTGGCCCAGCTCGGGCTGTTGCGGCCATTTGGAGAACCAATGGATGGAAGACCTCTCTCTGTCTCTCCCTCTCTGTCTGTAACTGTCTCTCATCCTAGGCTCTAGGCCCCACCGCCATTGCTGGAAGCCAGGTGGACACATGGCCCAACCACTGGTGTCAGCCCCACCCCCATCCTAATGGGATTCGCTGCTCCTACTTCCCTGCCAGCCTCCTGGAAAAGTTTTAAAAGGACCTGTTCCTGAACAGGCTCTCTTTCTCTCTCCGTCTCATGAGCTGTCTGTCTCTCTCTCTCTGCCTCTGGATCTCTCTCTTATGCTCTCCTTTTCCCCCTTTTCCTTCTTCACCCCTTCTCTCTGGTCTGTCAAGTTTCCCCCAATAAACTCTTTCCTTTAAAAAAAAAAGACTTTAAGAATTTATGTGTTCTACCTAACCTGCCTCTATATTGTACTGTGTTCTGATATACCAGAAAAGATATCTGACCTTTCTGACCTCTGCGAAGGTAGAGGCTGCTTGCTATCTTTCATGACTATCAGATCATAGCTGAGCAGTTTGACAGATGTGCCAAAGATAGCACACAAGGGCATGGCAGGTAGCCCTTGGCAAAGCTGGGAAGGAAGTAAAAGACTTTATTACACCCCATCAATGCCCCTGGGGATATGAGGCAGCTATTTGAGGTCTTCTTTATGAAAAGTGAAATTTAGGGGCCAGCGCTGTCGTGTATAGTAGGTTAAAGATCCGCCTGAAGTGCTGGCATCGCATGTGGGTGCCAGTTTGTGTTCTGGTTGCTCCACTTCTGATCCAGCTACCTGCTACTGTGCATGGGAAAGCAGTGGTGGATGGCCCAAGTGCTTAGGCCCCTGCACCCACACGGGAAACTCAGAAGAAGCTCCTGGCTACTGGTTTTGGATTGGCCCAGCTTGGGCCGTTGTGGCCATTTGGGGAGAGAACCAATGGATGGAAGACCTCTCTCTCTGTCTCCCCCTCTCTGTCTGTGACTGTCTCTCAAAAAAATCTTTTAAACAATGAAATTTAATGTTCAAATAATCCATGTTCTTTCTAGAAAAAAATTAGAAAATACAGCTAAAGTAAAAGAAAACCCAAAACATCCATGATCTGAACCAGAGATGGGTTTTCTACTGAATTATTTTTCTTCTTTTAAAGATTATTTATTTTATTTGAAAGCCAGAGTTACAGAGAAGAGAGAGGGAGAGAGGAAGAAGGAGAGGGAAAGAAGAAAAGAGGGGGAGAGAGAGAAAGATCGATCTTCCATCTGCTGTTCACTCCCCAAACGGCTGCAACAACCAGGGCTGAGCCAGGCTGAAGCCAGGAACACAGAACTCTATCCAATCCAGGTTTCCCACATAGGTGGCAGGGGCTGTCTTCTGCTGCTTTCCCAGGAGCATTAGCAAGGAGCTGGATCAGAAGTGGAACAGCCAGGACTAGAACCAGCATTCATATGGGATGCCAACATTGCAGGTGGCAGCTTAACCCATTATGCCACACATTTCCCCCTCTATTGAATTCTGAGCTGGCTCATTTTCTCCTTGCTAAAATTGGGAAGAGATTAAATTCTCAATCCTAAATCCCCAATCTCTTAGGACTGTGTTCTGCCCATCTCCTATGATTTTACAACTTCCATCTGTTCTTTACTGAAACTCCAAACATTCTCTAGTCTTACCATAACTTAAAAACAAACAAAATTCCCCAAGTGTTACATGAGCTTGTTAACCTCACAAACCCTACTTCCCTCACCATTCCTGGATGGCTACATTTTTGTAAAGCATATTCTGTCTTACTCTATTTTTATGTCCACCCACATCTTTTGTGACCATTTGTAACTTGACTTCTCTCTTCATCATTCTATTAAGCCTTCATTCTTTGAGTCACAAAATGAAGACCTAATTTCTGCATACAATGGTCTGGTCTCAGTCTTCAGCCTCCATGACCTCTCTCTATTATTTTGCCTTGCTGATCACACCTCCCTCTTAAATAACCTGTGCCCTGGATTTCCATACTAATGGCAACTGCAATCTGTTTTTCTGATTTCTCTATTCCAGTGGCTCCCACTTTTTCTAAATATCTCTTCTACCTGAATATTTTATCTTGGTAATGTCATCTACTCTTATCACTTCAATAATCACCTCTATCTAGGGGAAATTCACAATCTCTACTTTTGTAGTGAATTCATTCCACATTTCCAAATGTGTTTAACATATAGCCTACCAAACAAATATAGCCCCAAACAAATTTTTCTACTCATATCTATTCCTTCCTTTGGCTAAGCTAACCACTGTGTCTAGGTACCTAAACTCCATACCCACTTCTTCTCCCTTGCCCTGTTGCAGCCATGCATGGCCACCCACAGCTTCTCTGTCCTTCGAAGTTGATGTTCTCATTATTGAAACATCATAATAGCTTCCTCTATGGTCATAATATTCCAGTCATTGCTAAACACCAGCTCACAAACCTGTGGACGTTTTCTACCACCTATCAGAAAAAACAACTTCTCAGCCTGAAATGTAGGGCTTCATAACATGACTGTAGCCTTATTTTTGACCACTTCCCTACCCTAATGGTCCCTACATTCTCCAAAGTCTTCAATTTCCCTACGTATGTCTTTGTTCAATGCTCCCTCCACCTTCTAATATTGCTTATTCTTCAAAGGATCTCATTATTAACATAATTTCTTGTGGTTTTTCTTCCCTCCCTTTGAAACCAAACAGCATCACTTCAAAGTTTCTTATGGTAAGTTCTGATTTACACATGACCGCTTGCATTCTTGTGTTCTTCCTCCCTGAGGAGAGAAATACGGGATCAAAGACCTGACAATTTGTTATCTTCTCTTCCAATCTTCAGCAGTGCCAGAAATGCTCAAACAAGCATTCCCTAACTTACATCCATCATTTAAGGACTCGGCTGATAATGTTTCAGGAGGAAGGGAGTAGAAAGAGGAGGAAAAGCAGATTGCTGGGGACCTACCATGTACTCTATACCATGTCAATACAGATAGCATCTGATTTACCAGGAGTATTATTCCTGGCATAGAAGGGAAGAAGGAAAAAATAGCCTCATTTTTTTTTTGACAGGCAGAGTGGACAATGAGAGAGAGAGAAACAGGGAGAAAGGTCTTCTTTGCCGTTGGTTCATCCTCCAATGGCCGCTGCGGCCGGCACACCGTGCTGATCCGAAGCCAGGAGCCAGGTGCTTCTCCTGGTCTCCCATGCGGGTGCAGGGCCCAAGCACTTGGGCCATCCTCCACTGCACTCCCGGGCCACAGCAGAGAGCTGGACTGGAAGAGGGGCAACCGGGACAGAATCCGGCGCCCCGACCGGGACTAGAACCCAGTGTGCCAGCACCACAAGGCGGAGGATTAGCCTAGTGAGCCGTGGCGCCAGCCAATAGCCTCATTTTATACCTTATTCTCTTAATTCCTGATTTGGCTGACTGGAACCCAAATTGAAAGAATACATTTCCAGGCTCATGCTAACTCAAGTGCTCCTGATTTCTGTAATTCGATCTTTCTTAAAGCTTCTTGTTAAAAGTGAAAGTTCAGATAATTGGAAGAAAAACAAAGTACCAAGAAAATAACCTTAAAAATTCCCCCAAAAAAGGGGCAGGCATTGCGGCTCAGAGGGTTAGGCCACCACATGGGATTTTTGCATCCCATATCAAAGTGCCCGAGTCAGAGCTCAGCCTTAGTTTCTGATCCAGCTTCCTGCTAATGTGCACCTTGGGAGGCAGTAGATGATGGCTCAAGAGCTTGGGTTCCTGCCACTCATGTGGGAGACCCAGATGGGGTTCCTGTCTCTTGGCTTCTGCCTGGCCCAGCCTTAGCTACTGTGGGCATTTGGGGAATGAAACAACATATGGAAGAACCATGTCTGTCTCTTTCTCTGCCTTTCGAAACAAACATTTGCTAAAATCCCACAAAAATACAACTATAATACAACTATAGTTATAGTGAAAAGGACTTGGGCAGGAATAACAAGCTGAAAATTGTACTTTAGAAGGCTCTTCCTTACCTCTTCCTAGGGCTCCTCCTTTCCCCCACCAACCCCCCCCCCCCCCGAAAAGCCAAAATTACATTCAACCAAAATTTATTTTCTGGAATTAAGAAAGTATAGAATTTTGAAGCTGGTGCTGTGGCACAGTGGACTAAGCCTCCATCTGTAATGCTGTCATCCCATATGGGCACCAGTTCATGTCCTGGCTGCTCCTCTTCTAATCTAGCTCCCTGTTAATGGCCTGGGAAAGCAGTAGAGGATGGCCCAAGTGCTTGGGCCCCTACACCCATGTGGGAGACCAAAAAGAAGCTCCTGGCTCCTGGCTTTGGATTAGCCCAGCTCTGGCCATTGCAGCCATTTGTGGAGTGAACCAGTGGATGGAAGACCTTTCTCTCTCTGTCTCCCCTCTCTGTGTCTGTAACTATATTTCTCAAATAAATAAAATATTTAAAGAAAAGTTCTGAATTTTATAAATGATGGTCAGTATGTCTACATATGGTATAATATATTTTATGTGCGAGGGATGAAGAAAAAACAGTGTTAACAAACGCATATATCTGTATTGGATTTTGGCCTAGATAAACTTCAAAAGGTGTTTCTGCTTCAAAGCACTAAGGGGAAAAGCACTAGTTTTTATGTGTTTCTTAAACTTACGTGTTTTTGGCTTGACCATCCTGGAAGCACATTTGTCCCACCAATGCAGCAGACTGGTCCCCTAAACACTGAGAATACAAATGACAATGATGAACATGGACTAAGACAATGTTATTAATTTCATTTTTAGAAGAACAACAGGTTTTACTTTTCCTTTACTATTTATCAAGGGATGAATTGTCTGTTTCTTAAAGTTTCTCCATATGGTCATATTTTCTATTTGTTAATATCACTATAAGAGAGAAGGTATGGGAAGGGAAAGTTAGAATTAATTAACTCAAAAGATTCTCAATGACTCGCAGTTTCACGTAAGAACAAAAATAAGGCAATTTTGCTGCTCTTACTTATATTCCCCTGTTTAGGAAGGGGTAGACTAATCAATTGAGGTAAACGAGGAAAGTCGTAACACAGAAGCGGGTGGGGATGAGGAGGTGGCAGGGAGAGGTTTGGTGATAAAACTTACCCCAGATATTGGCACACCTTCCAAGGCCCCAGCTTTCTAATAAATGAAATTTTTAAAAAAGATTATGAATAATCACAAACTTTTAGTTCTGCTAACATAACCGCAACAGAAATGCACATTAATAGCGATGTGCCAGAGAACGTAAGCAGACAAGACAAAGCAAGTGTCTTAACTACGTGAGTAGTATAGAGACAGATTCTAGTAGTATTCCTAGAATGACAAGAAGGTACACGGTATTGGAGAATGAACACATACAATGGATTGGGAGTCAGGAGACATACACTTTGCTCCTGGTTAGTTAGTATTTATGCCACGAGCAGGCCGCTGAAACCTCTATATACCTCAATTTATTAATGAACAAAAGGAAGACTAGGCTACATGATTGCCAAGTCTATTAGTGCTTGGCTATTATTGCCATTATTAAAAAAATGAATAACATATCTTATGAATAGCTATCAAACCAGTATGGAACATATTTATTTAAGAAGGCTGTATTTTATCAACTCTTCTTTCTACTCAAGCTGCTCTTAAGTAAAAAAACACAAGAGTGTTCTGGTATTGGCAAACATCATTCTTCTAATTTAGATAGATAACAGTTCATTTACGTCATAATGAGTGGTTTTTATTTTGATCAATATGGCCAGTATTCTAGGAAGAAAAACGAGATTTAAGTGGCTGATTGTGGGCTTTACAAACTTAATTTAAAAAAAGAACATACAATAATGCAAAGCAATTTCTACTGATATTATAGAACCAGGGAAATTAAGGAATGTGACCTCTAAAATAGTGGCGATGCACTGTGAAGAGCATGAAACTAAAGCTTTGGATTAGCTCCTTGGTCCACCATTTGTGAGCCTGCCTCCTGGGCTTTAGGAGCTTTAGGTACCCTATCTGTTAAATTGTGGGTAAGAAAAGAATCCACTTTGGCTGGTGCCGCAGCTCACAAGGCTAATCCTCCGCCTGCAGCGCCGGCACACCGGGTTCTAGTCCCGGCTGGGGCGCCGGATTCTGTCCCGGTTGCCCCTCTTCCAGTCCAGCTCTCTGCTGTGGCCTGGGAAGGCAGTGGAAGATGGCCCAAGTGCTTGGGCCCTGCACCCGCATGGGAGACCAGGAGGAAGCACCTGGCTCCTGGCTTCGGACTGGCGCAGCACGCCGGCCGTAACAGCCATCTGGGGGGTGAACCAACAGAAAAGGAAGACCTTTCTCTCTGTCTCTCTTTCTCACTGTCTAACTCTGCCTGTCAAAAAAAAAAAAAAAAAAAAGAATCCACCTCACATGGATATGAGGATAAGGAAATAATAGCAGATATGTGGAAACTCTTTACAAAACATAAAATTGATAGCTTCTATTATTTTATTTCATGTTTAAGGTAATTCAAGATCTGCTATTTTTACTTATTGTATATATTCTTTGAAAAACTGAACCTAGACAGACATGAAGTAAAGGGTAACTTTCACAAAAGGCTTAGAGTGAATCAATAGGAAACCTAGATTCTGTATATATTCATATATTTAAATACCCAAGGAAGGTTTTCATATAGTTTTGAAATGATCAGACTATCAGTAAGATCTACTATGTGTGCTCAGCACATAAAGCACTCCTTTTCCTTCGTTGGGAGGGGCCTCTGGAGTATTCCTGGAGCATCCTCTGATGAAGCATGCAGAAAAAGTTTCAGTGCATTTCCAACTAACTGGTCTGAAAGGCTGGTCAAGATATCATTTACGATAGACATTTAAGACTTTTGAAAACTATGTCTAATTACCTGTTATGCTAAAGCCCAAAGCACATCACAACAGTACTTCGTAATGGGCACCATCAGAAGCTCTCATTCCAGGAAACTATCTTTTACTTTAGAAACTTCACTCCCAGTCTTATGGAGACAAATAAGATCACAGTTTTTTAGAAAAAACTCTGACTAGTGTTTAATAGTAATTTGGAGGGTCATAGAAATTCCAGAAACATCTGTTTAGCAAATTGACTTTTGCTTGTCTCAAAATAAATGGAAATGCACTGTATCTTTTCCAAATCAATGGGTAACATAATTGCTGGGCAACCTACTCACCAGGCTATGAGAGATTTTCTATAGTCAGCAAGGAGGAAAAAGAGGGACAGAAGCATAATATTTTAAATTCAGGAGAAATCTAGATCAGTTAAATTTTTTTTCAACTATCCTCTGATACTGTTTCTCAAGAATAAGTTTTGTTCCCTGATTCAAGTCAGTATGTTGATAGCTATGAAATTACCAAAGCACTTTTATTCTAAGTAGTGACTATGTCTCCTTTAAGAAACTCCATATTGCCATAAAAAATTTTATTATAAATGAAATAGTTGAAAATTTCTGTTCAAGCTTTATTCAGAGCACTTGGTCTTCAACTTAATTATTACTAACTCTGTAAGTAATGTTTTTAATATTTTTCATCAAGTGTCTAAAATATTCTTTTGTAATTTCTTAGATTTTTTTTCATAAGCTATATCATGAATTCCAGATTTTTATGCTCAAAAATGGATTCACATCTTCCTAGGGGTTTTCCATTCTTGGTGTTTAATCACAGACTCTCAGTGATGCTAGGTATATTTTTTGCTAAAACTACTTTTTTTCCTGGGTTTCAATGACAGCAGTCATAAAAAGGGAAATCAGTTTAATTAGAAATCCCAAAATTAGACTCTTTGTTTTCAGTTCCTTTGCTAAATTTTGCTCAGGCTGACAAAGACTATAATATATTCACATAGTTTGATCAAAAAGAGATTCGAAAGGAAAAAGAACACTGTTAAAATGTTAAAGAGTCCCTCTTCTGAAATCAAAGCAGACATCACAACTAATCAGCAGGACTGAAAGAATAACCTGGCTCAAACACTCCCACACCATCATCTAGAGTTAGATTATGCCAGTATTACTTTAAAATTAATGATATTAAAAGAAAAACCAAATCAATGTTATAACTATAAATCAGTTGGTAAGAAAGACTATAAGGCTTTTAAGTTATAAAACTATTTGAACACTAAATTCTTATTTTACATATTATCAACATTCATAGAGAAGTCACTAATCCCAAACTATGAAAAACAACACAATTGAGCTTTGAATTTTGAATAATGTTTAAATGAAAAACAAACAAAACTTTTCTTTTCTTTCTGTTTTCCTCTTTCTTTTGTTTCTTTCTCTTTTTTTACCATTAGGCCATAGATTTCAGAAGAACTCCGGACATTTGGAAGAATTTCCATTGGAATTTCAAAAAATCTGAAAAACAACAAGATATGGTATGTTAAGACTATTAATAAATATGTAGAAATATTTACATGTATTTAAACATAACATTGTAAATAACAAAGCATAGATATATTTGAGTATAAACAGTAAATACTTAAATAAGAAGAACATAGTTTGTATGCTTGGATATTCAACACTCCAACTTATAAAGCCACTAAACTAATAAAAATGAAAAAGCACACAGAAATCAAAGTACTTTTCTAAAGGAACCTATCCATAAGGAATAATTAATTTGGCCTGTTTATTACAAGCAATAACAAACTCTTTAATAAAATACAGTATAGACTTGCATATTGCAGTTGGTAAATCAACTCCATTGACATCTGAAAACAGTAAAATTTAGCTTATAAACAGATAACATAATGGGGAAACTATTCTTAAGGGAAAATCCAACTCACTCGCAGAGCTCTTTATCCCATTCCAAAGAATGAATATTGAAAAGCATCGTCCTACTTGCATTTGTTACATCTGTACAGTGGACACCTCCATTGACTCCTCCTGTCAAACTCTACACAGAATAAAAAGGACAGGTTATATTTATACTTATTTGCAACTTAATTTACATACTATTAAAACCCATAACAAGCAGCACATAGAAGAAAAGAATGGAATATTTCAATTATTTAGTTTTTAAAGTTTTTAGCAGTGTCCAACCAAAATAAAATGAGTCAGACAAGTAATTTAAAATTTTCTAGTAACTACATTAAAAGAGTACAAACATGTAAAGTTAACCTTAATAATATGGTATATTTTATTTAACTTAATATATATAAAATATCATCTTAATGTGTACTCAATACCAAAATTAAAAGAATTCTATGGCCGGCGCCGCGGCTCAATAGGCTAATCCTCCACCTTGCGGCACCAGCACACCAGGTTCTAGTCCTGGTCGGGGCACCAGATATTCTGTCCCGGTTGCTCCTCTTCCAGGCCAGCTCTCTGCTGTGGCCAGGGAGTGCAGTGGAGGATGGCCCAAGTGCTTGGGCCCTGCACCCCATGGGAGACAAGGAGAAGCACTTGGCTCCTGCCTTCAGATCAGCGTGGTGCACCGGCCACAGCGTGCTGGCCGCGGCGGCCATTGGAGGGTAAACCAACGGCAAAGGAAGACCTTTCTCTCTGTTTCTCTCTCTCACTGTCCACTCTGCCTGTCAAAAAAAAAATTCTATTTTCTTTCTTTAGTACTAAGTCTTTGAAATCTGGTACATATCTTATACTCATAGTATATCTCAATTCAGACTCAAATACTCAACAGCCACGTGTGGGTAGTGGCTACCATATTAGTGCAATTCCAGTTAATTTATGGTTAGATAAGATATTTTTGTTTTCTTCCTCTGATCTTTAGAAATTTTAAAGTCTTATTAAATTTGGCAAGATGAAATAAATTGAGATGCCTGTCTCTTAAAAATTTTACAGCACCTTGTATTATCCCTTCACTTTATTTTTATCTTTTTTTCTTTTTTATTCTTTTTTTTAAGATTTATTCATTTATTTATTTGAAAGTCAGAGTTACACAGAGAGAGGAGAAGCAGAGAGAGGTCTTCCATCCGATGGTTCACTCCCTAGATGGCCACAACAGCCAGAGCTGCGCCGATCCGAAGCCAGGAGCCAGGAAATTCTTTCGGGTCTCCCACGTGGGTGCAGGGGCCCAAGCACTTGGGCCATCTTCCACTGCTTTCCCAGGCCATAGCAGAGAGCTGGATCAGAAGTGGAGCAGCCGGGACTAGAACCTGTGCCCATATGGGATGTCGGCTCTTTAGGCCAGGGCATTAACCTGCTGTGCCACAGAGCCGGCCCCTTATTTTTATCTTTTTAAAAAGATTGATCTTATCTATTTGAAAGGCAGAGTGTCACAGAAAAAGGGAGAGACAGAGAAAGAGATCCTTCATCTGCTGGTTCATTCCCCAAACAGCTGCAATGGCTGGGGCTGGGCAAGGCCAAAGCCACAAGCCCAGAATCTCATCTAGGTCTCCTACATAGGTGGCAGGGGCCCTAAGCATTTGGACAGTCTCGGCTGCCCTCCCTTGTGTACCAGCAAGAAGCTGAATCAGAAGCAGAGAGCTTCAACATGGAATGTGGCTTTGGAGGCAACAGCCTAAGCCACTTACCACAATACTGCTCCCCTTTTGTTGTATTTTTATTTTTTGATTAACAGTCTGCATTGAGCTATGTCTATACTTGCCCAAGCATATATTCTGAAAGCAGAGTTTTTACCTCTCTCATGTTAACACCTTCCTACCTGAACTGCAGACACCAAGAGGCTAAGAAAGAACAAAGGTAGACAAAGGTGAGCTCTGAAAAGTCTTTCCTCTAGTCTCCTATAGCTCACACTGCCTATATCCTGCCACACTCTCACATAAGACAGTTGTCTGAGCTAATCACCAACTGTGACTGACAGATGTGAAAATGACTGCTCAGGAGCACAAACCAAAACCTTCCCTGGCCAAGCGCAGCAGGGAGGGTGGCAAAGGTGCCTCTTCCTGGGAATGGTTCTGAGATCTGATCTGTGAACCTGGCAAGTGAGAACAGGGACAATATTCCCTTCAAATTCCCTGGAATGTTGGAAAGATCATCACACACTTATGGAAGTATTTACAAATGAAATTTTATGTCTGAGATTTGCATTAAAATGATCTGTGAGGGGAGAGTATGTGAGTATAGCTGAAACAAAGTGGCCCATAGGTTGATGATCAATGGATGTGGCTCACCAGGAAAGAGGTTAACTGCACTATTCCCTCTACTATGGGGAACAGTGGAAAATGTCATTGTAAAAATAACAGATCTAGAGAGCTTGAAATCCAGAGTTCTAGAGATCTAGAAAGAGAGAGAAACAGAGAGAGAGAATATGAGAGAGGCACCACAGGATAGTAATTTTAAGATGTATCTTGGAAAGGTTTGAAATGTTAAGTTTTTACTCATTTTTGTTCTGCTTAGGCAAAAAGATTATCTAAGAGAAATTTCCACTATCACTTAGTTTCCCATTATGATTTTATTACACAAGAGACAGCTGTTTAATACTGAAACCACATAATAAAAGTATCCTAGGCGTTTTGTCCTGTTAAATAGTTATCTCCTCTGGGGCCAGCGCTGTGGTGCAGTGGGTTAACACCCTGGCCTGAAGCACCAGCATCCCATATGGGTGCCGGTTCGAGACCTGGCTGCTCTACTTCTGATCCAGCTCTCTGGTATGGCCTGGGAAAGCAGTAGAAGATGGCCCAAGCGCTTGGTCCCCTGCACCCACGTGAGGGACCTAGAAGAAACTCCTGGCTTCGGATCAGTGCAGCTCTGGCCGTTGCGGCCATCTGGGCAGTGAACCATCAGATGGAAGAACTCTCTGTCTGTCTCTACCTCTCTCTTTAATTCTGTCTTTCAAATAAATAAAATGAATCTTTAAAAAAAATAATTATCTCTTCTAAAAAATGGTTAGTGGGAAAGAAGTATATGATAAGCAAGAAAAAGGCTACCCACATTACTTATCCCAAAGATAGCAGGTATGAGATGTGGTTTTCACTGAAATAAATCAAGAAAAAATAAAGAGGAAGTAGGCAAAGGTACCTCTCAAATAGAGGCTGAAATGATTTTGTTCCTTCTTGAGTGGTTTTTCTTAATGGTGCTAAAACTTTAGAACTGTTAGTAGAAAATAATAGGTCAGGCAGTCTAAAATAACTTCTTTGAAAACTCTCCATACATGAATTGTACTTATACATACCCAAATAAGCCATGAATCAATGGTCCCAAAAAGAGCTCTATTTTCTTCAACAGCCTTTTGAACTTTTCTCACATTGTCAAGGAGCCAACGAAGTTTCACTGCACTGAAGTAAGTACTAAGTGGAAGGCCTGTTTTGGACTAAAACAGTTATGGAGTTCGGTCAGCAAATTAACTTTATTACAGTTTAAAACAAAATCACAAAGTCAAAAAATTCAACAAAACACAAAACATTCAGTGGTCCAAAGGCAATCCCATTGTATTATGAAAGAAAATATTTTTTCTATTTCATGACACAAGAATGTTCATGCACAAAGATCAAAGCAGTATGTTTACAGATCAAAGAGCATCCACGTAAGAAGGCAAAGAGAAAATTAATGACACAATGTCCTGCAACTACACAGTGACAATGTACATGCTAACTTTTGCAATAACTTAGTATTATGTGTAGAGCCTAGCCTGAATCTCTGTTATTTATTTTATATTTCATGAAAGTGATAAACAATGATAAATCAGGGAGCATATCAAATCATAAACTCATGACCACAGCCAGAAAATTTTGTCTTCAAAACAGTAATATATTTTTTAGGGCTGGCATTGTGGTGTAGTGAGTTAAGCTGCCATCTTAACAATGTCAGAATCCCTTGTGGGTTTCAGTTTGAGTCCTGGCTGCTCTACTTCCAATTCAGCTCCCTACTAATGTAACTACGAAAGAAGTGGAAGATGGCCTAAATGCTTGGGCCCCTGCACCCATGTGGGAGACCCAGAAGAAGCTCCTGGTTCCTGGCTTCGGCCTGGCCCAGCCTTGGCCATTGTGGCCATCTGGATAGTCAACCAACGGATGAAAGACCCCTTCTTCTCTATCTCTCCCTCTCTGTCTCTGTAACTCTGCCTTTCAAATAAGTAAAATAAACCTTTAAAAATATATTTTGTGTGTGCACACATATATTCAAACATAACTACTATGAAATTATTGTAGACGAAAGCAGAGCTCAAAGACATGCCAGATTAAAGCAATCAAAATTGTTCTATGTAAGAAAGCAGGTGCCTAAATTTAGCAAATACACTGAACAGAGGGAAGTGCACTGAATAAAGGTTATAGGGTGAAAATGAAACACATAAGGCTTATCAGTCTTTCTTGAGAATGGGTTAGGTCCAACTCTTAGTTATGGTAGTAATTAAATGCTATATTTTTATAAAGCCTAATTAAAATGGTTAACATAATACACATATATAAAAATAATGCAACTATCTTTTCCCTCCTTGATCCCTACTCCCATTTATCACTCAGCTATAAAACTTGATATCTTTTTCCTTCTTATCTCAGGTGAGTATGTTTCGCAAGAAAACTCAACCCAAAAGATTTAACACTTTAATGCAACCTGTAAATTAAGAATCTTAACACTAGGTTTTCTAACTTTCTTATCCTAGAAAAAAAAAGGTTCAAAAAATGGAAGGAAATAATTTATGGAAATAATCTTAATTGATTTGGAGATCCCACAGAGGCAATAGTGGGCTGTACATAATATATTATTTTCATGATATAGATAGATCCCTGAAATGGCACCAAAGAGAAAAACATGCATCCCTTGAAGCAAAGTGCAACCAGAGGTAGGGGTGAGGGTTAGCAGTGTGACAGAGAACAGAATAGAGAATGCCTAAGGGTTTATTCAGGATAAGCCTTAAGTTGGTGGGGTAGGGAACAGGGAATGATTTGTTACATTGTTGCAAGTAATGAGATGTGAACTAGTTTCACAACCAAGGACCAAAAGAAAATGCCAAGAGCATCCCACTGACAAACAAAACAGGGAACTTCCTTTTGGGTCCTACAAGAATCTGGCTTTGATCTTGCTAAGAAAGTGCCTTGCCTATTTCAAAAGTTGTCTTCCTCTTCATCTATCTGAAGAGAAATTTATATGACTGAAAATGAGGAAATTTTTATTAGGCTTCTTCATATAAAGAAAGTGGAAGAGAGTTCAATACAGAGTTAAGAGTGTCTTCTACTTTCTTCCTTGAATCCAGCTTCCTAAAAACTCCCAAGTCCTCAGAACTTCCTTCATGTGGCAGTGAAAATAATAGGGATGAATTTAGAAATCATGGCTGAATTACAGAAAGCACCCATTGGGGGAGTACTGCTTACGCCAATGGGACACATTTTAATCTCTCCAGTCTATAACCTTTGCGATATTATTGTCCTAATTCACCACAGGACAAGAACAATGTCTGTGGGAAATAGTCTATAAATTGCATCATATAACTATTGTGCCATAAGATGTGGTGCCCAGATAATCTTTCTGGTGAAATTTATAAGCTTTTAAAGAAATAAACATTCTTATAATATAGTTTAAGAGATCTCTTTCTTACCTTGACAAAGTTATTATTTCCTGGAATTCTTTTACTAAGATTCTCAACAGTAGACTGGGTTCTTAGATCAAGCCACACTATAAACCGAAATATAATAATATACATGAAAAACTTCATTAAAAATAAGGACTTAATGAAATCTCTACCAAGGACAGGATACTGATTAGTTTCCATAAGTAATTAAAATGCTAGAGTTTCAAAGGACAGAAATTAGGAAATTAGAAATGAATGGGCATATTGTTAGAAGAGAATGAATTTGAGGAAGAATTTAAGGTTTTTATGCAAAATTATGGACCAAGTTAGGAAACACAATACAAACCTTAGGGTACTTATTTTATAATTCTTTTATTGAAAAAAATCCACAAAAATATTTGGAATACAGATTTTGTTAGTATACATGAGTTCAGAGATCTAAAAACTAGATCGGGTAAATAGCAGGGCAAAATGCACAGCCTAGAATCACTGTGCAATGTGTAAAGTGTTATCTTAGAAAAGTTGGGAGTAATTTGTGACAAAGACAAAGTAGAGAACCTGATCCTATTAATGCAGAAACAAAAGATTCAGTCTTCCATGTATGCTAGACTCAAGACTCCTTGGAAGTTGCCATTCTTTCTCTATGCTGGATTGTGAGAGGGAAAAAAATCCCCATTTTAATGATTCAACACTTGTTTTCCACTAAGTAGCCATTGTTTGCTTTCTGAGAACCTAGTAGAAAATATCTGTTTTGCTTAATGACAGAAGGGTTGAGGAAGCAAAAGCATGAACTAGTATATAAAGCAATTGTGAATGGTAACCAACAGAAGAATAAGCTGAGCTTTCTTATTTTTCAGTTATGTACTTTACTTTTGTAACTTTTGATCTATGAGTGGTCACTTGACATTTTTAGAACACAAACTGTACAGATGCCTCCTGAAAGACCTGTCAGACCCATAGTGTGTGTAAAGACCTCAGGGAAGATTATATAAGATTGCCCACTCACATCTCAATGCTAGCAATTACTGTCTAGTAAGGCTCACTCTTAACTATATTATTCTATTCTCTTCATTTAAAAACCAGTTCTTTCCTGGAATGAAATTTAATCAATTCCTCCTAATTACTTAAAGTGTCATTTCCCTTAAGGGCCCTGTGTTTGACTATGACAGTGGCTACTTCCCAGGAGATTTAAATTGAGGACTTCAGAACACAATAATGTTTTCTTGTAGATGTAAAAAGCAGCAAGAAAAGGCTCATCACAGCCAAAAGAGGAGGAGAAAAAAGAAGACAACCATAAAAACAGATGGCCTACACTTGACATCTGTGTTTGCTGCCCAGCACCTCAAACTTTCCTTAGGAAATCAGCCCTCCCTCTACCTCAATCATGGAGTTTGCCCGAGATCTGAGACTACTTGCAGTGCCAGTATTAGGTTCAGATCCCAGAACCGTTTGAGGAATCAGTATGTGGTACCCAAGCCCAGTCGAGAAGTGTACTAAGTCTGCAGGAGACCTGTTCTAAGCTGAGCTTGGCAGTATGTGGACTTACTGCCCCTCATGAAGGGAAAGCTAAATCTGCCATATTTGGAGCCATCGCACAAAAAAGACTTGAAGGGGACCCAGAGGACACCGTCTAAATTTGAAATCAGCTAGCGTTGGATCACCAATTCCATAAGCAAACCAATTCCTTTTTTAAAAAAACTCCATTTATTTGGAGTTTTTTATTACCTACACTGTGATTGATGCAAGCCAATAATGACATCATCATGGAGATGGCAAAATCTCCCATGTTCAGGGAACAAAGGCAATGCACTTTCTACCAGTGACAGTACTGAATGACTATGACAAAAGTGGACCTTCCTCACAGGCAAGAAAGTCTAGCAGGTGTTACTGGTTTAACAAAAGTAATTGGAAAACGAAGAAAAACTAGTGAGAAAAGTTTTAAATCTGTGACAGAATTAACAAGCACATGTCAATCCTGTTTATCAAACCACAATGAGCTGAGATTAAAGATCAATTTAATGAGTTTTGATTACCCACTTTAAAAAATGAAACAGGATGGATTCGGATGGTAATACCGAAGTTTGCTGCACTCAGTAAGATAAATACCGACTTGTGAAACTTTTGTTTCACTTATATGGGCTTGCAGAATCATGACATAAAACATTTTTTAATCAGAGGACATGAACAAATCCATTGGAAAGCCACACTCTTGGCTTCATATTTAATGACTTAAATCCTTCTAGATCATTTTTTTCCACATTTTAAGGGACATAACACTTGCTAGGGAACTTCAAAACGGGCCCCAACCCCCCAAATATTTGGTTAGCAAGTTTGAGAATGGGGCACCAAAAGCTGCCTTTTAAATAGGTGCCCCACTTTGAGAAATACTGCTAGACTCCATAGCCATGGTTCTTACCTAGAAAGCATACCAAGAACACCTGGAAAACTTTGAAATCGCACACCCTGGCTCTGCTCTGCAGGATTCTTTGTCTATCTATGCAAGGTTTGAACCTCAAAGTACCCCAAGTTATTCAGTATAATATTAAAACTTGAGAACCTCTTTTCTAAGGCATGTTCTTTAGGACAGTAGAGGCATTCTAATTATTTATTTAAAAACAAAACTAAAAAAAAAAAAAAAATGACCAGGTGCTTCCTGTATCCTAGGGGCCCTGTGACACTATCGCTCCTCGATTAGGACCCCTTAGAAAATTGAGCTCTTTATTCTTTACTTGAAAGCTTGCAATTATGACTCACAGAGCAGTATCCACAGAGTTAAAATGTCACCACAATGAATAAAAACACTGGATGTGAAATTAGGAGACCAAAGTTCCATGTTTGGCTTTGTCACCAACAGCTACATGACATAGGCAAGTCATCTCATCATTCATGGCCTGGATTTACTAAATATTAAGTAAGTAAGGAGGCTGGACTATATGGCCTGAAAGTCCCTCTCCTTCCATTGTTCCATGATCACAGAAGCCTGTTAAGATAGTTCCTTTTTTTAAGCCAAAGAATTTAAGGCAATTAGAATACATGGAATGAATTAGTAAAACTGCCAAAGAGAAAAATGTCAGTGCTTGGTACACTAACAAGCAATTCACAAATGCTCAAAATTAATTGAATTAAGAACAAAAAATTAGAAAACTCATTAAAGAAGCTAATACAGCAGAATTAGATTTGCAGAATAAGAGACCAAAAGCCAAAGAGAAGACCACAAGCTGAAGGACTAAGCCCCATGTGTGTGTAATTTTGGAGATCAAAAGAAGTGACAGGTCCAGATCCAGAAGCAGAGGTCAATTTCCCCCAACATGTCTGAGTTGGAAGGCTGGGAAGTGAGCTGTTAGCCAGAGCACCAATACCTGAGGAAGTACCAGCAGCTGGAACTGAAGAGCCAGAGCGAACAACGGCAACTGGAACTGAAGGGCCAGGAGAAACTGGAGCAGCTGGAGTATTAGGAGAAATAATGGCAATTCATACTAGAGATGGCCAGATAAAAGGTCTATGTATTCTTGTTGATCACTTAAGAAATGGTAGATCCCTTGGGCGAGTTCACCAGAATGAATATTTGAGTGTAGAAAAAGAAAAGGAAGAGACATGGAGTAGAAGGGGAAATGAAGGAAGTCCAATCTGAATCTCTGGCATTTGGATGAAGGCCAGGTAAATACCTGCTTCTGGTTCACAATGACTCTTTGCTACTTGTCAACGTTTATGCATCCTATTTAGAAAAGTGCCTCAATTAACTACAGGCAGTTCATTCAGCCACTGAATGGAAATGTTGCATGAATGCATGGAGGGAGTATATCCCTAGGGGGATGTTAGAAAGGACTGAATTGTGGACATCTGCAATAAGACATGAACGAGCTGCTTTGGGAAGACCCAAAGAGAGCACTTTCCTGGTAGGTGGCTGGAGGTAAAAGCCACTTCCGCAGAAAGGAACTGCAAGTCTAGAGGTGATCTGGAACACTACAGAGCCTGTTATACAGACCAAGTAAATTGAAATTAAATGGTCCAGACCATCAAACAAATTGGTAAAAAAAAATTTTTGAATAATCTGAATCTCATTATATTAAATAAAATAACATCCAAAATATGTCTGATAAACTTAGTTTGTTCTGAATAACGTTTAAAGACCAAAGAGAAATGTATTCCCCTCAACCACCATGGACCAGGGTTTGTTTAGTGATGTAGTAAAAGTACAAAGGAAGACATTATTGTGAGAATATTTAGAATAACTACACCTCACAAAAGTGCACCATTTTTGGATAATCATAATAGAAAGAAAAAGCATCTAAGAAACAAAATAAAAACTAAAAGAAAATGCCACTGGAGACCATCTAAATTATTTCCAGTTGACTAGAAACAAAGGCAAATAATGAATCTCCTATAAGATGGTTTATCGTGAGGAGCTTCTAGTCTGAATTGAACTGAGACAAAGCTGACACTCCAGGCTATCGTACACATCCTAAGCAAGGACTTCTGATAGTCACACAAAGTGTTATGGGGCTGTTCCCCCACAAGAGACTTAATAATAGTAAAACACGTTTAGTTACTGTGTTTTACTAGTTTGCCAAAAGTTAAACTGTTAATTAAGCTGGGTAAGAGGTTCTTTGCAAGAGGAAAAAGGCTACATTGATGACTGCCCCTCACCTGATGACATTTTCAGAAAATGGTGGGTTAAAATGAAAAATGGAGAGTGGGACAAGAATGAGTAAGTTAAAAAGCCATTATTCATGTGTGTGTGTGTGTGTGTGTATACACACAGGCACATGCACACCTAAAGGTGTGGACTGAAACCTATTTTATCTCACAGGTACACAACTGCCAACCTGTCAATAACTGATCTGAGAGTGGGTGACCCTAGGTAGACTCTGCATTTTCCCTAGGAACACCTGTCATGCATAAATCAATCATTTCATCTGGCTTTACGGATTAAAAAGGCTATCATCAATTCAGAAATTGGGTGTGGTTGACACTGAAGCCTTATAGTCCGCCAGGCACTGGTTTAAGGATTCTACATGTCTTAACTCACTGATCTTCACCTCAAGCCTATGAGGACCATACTTCTAATTTCCTCAGTTTAACTGTCAAGGGAATATGCACAGAATGCTAGGAAGTGGAAAAGGTAGTATTTGAACCCAGGGTCTAAATCGAGAGTTAAACCTTGACAACTGGGGCGCAGTAGGTTAATCCTCTGCCTGTGGTGCCGGCATCCCATATGGGCGTTGGTTCTAGTCCTGGCTGCTCCTCTTTCCATCCAACCAGTGAACCAGCAGACAGAAGACCTTTCTCTCTGTCTCTCCCTCTCAATGTCTGTAACTTATCTCTCTCAAATAAATAAATTAAATCTTTAAAAAAAAAACCTTGACAATGTAAGTACAACCATTATGAATTAAGTCTTTATTAAATGGGATAAAAATATTAAATATTGGAAATTTGAAAGTTAAAATCAAGGTCAGTTTCTTTCTACTTAAACTAACCAGAGTTGAATAATCCAATCACTGCAAAATACAGCACTGTTTCTTTACCCAGGATTGAAGGAGCTATAAGGCTTTCAAAGAACTGTGTAATAAAAGACTTGAGGGGCCAGTGCTGTGGCACAGAAGGTTAAGCCTCCTCCTGTAGTGCCAGCATACCAAATGGCTGCTCCACTTCCAATTCAGCTCCCTACTAATATGCCTGGAAAAGCAGTAGAAGATGGCCTGAGAACTTGGGTCCCTGCACCCATGTAGAAGACCCAGAAGAGGCTCCTCGCTCCTGGCTTCAACCTGGCCCAGCCCTGACCATTGCAATCATTTGGGGAGTGAACCAGTGGATGGACGATCTCTTTCTCTTTCTCTCTCTCTCTCTCCTTCTCTCTCTGTATCTCTGCCTTTCAAATAAATAAATCTTGAAAAAAATAAAATTAAAAAAAGACTTGAAATACTGAGGTATAAGTGGGTCCTGATAAAGCTGAGTATTTTAGATTTTACAAAACTAAAAATTCTCCCTTCTACATAAACAACAAACCCCATGCTTTTATTGTTTAAAGCCAAGTGTACTTAGGAGTTCTAGATGATATGCCACCTATTGTTCTTCGTACATGCTGATTCCCAGCATGGAACTGATAACCCAGTTCCAGAAATGACAAAACAACTGAGTTCAAGGTTCCTTCAACAGATCTCAACAGATGATTACACAAGTTTAATCTTTGGTGCAAGGTTAACCAGTATGTTAACAAAGAAGAGGCAAAAAAGAAGATCAATGCTTAAAATGGTAATATTCGACAGTAAGAGTTATATGTCATAAAGAATTCTAATCCAACACCTTAGGAAAAAAATTGTAATACCATTTCAATAAGAAAAAAAATTTAATAGACAAAGAATTGAGTTTTGTGGGTACCTTTCTTTAATATACTAAAAGTCTTGAACCAATAACTTGCCTCACTAGATATTAGTACCTATTACAAATGGTGTTTTTTTATATTAAATCATGGATTGTGCTGTAAATAAAAGCTACTGAAGTGAGGGTCATACTGCAACTCAGCCAAGAAGGGGGGAAAACAATTGGGTCATCCTGGTTAGGCTACATTATTTTTACTGGTAGCAACACTGAAAAACATGTATAAACATATTAAATATCATGATTCAAGACTTCCTTCAATCTCCAAATGAATATCAGTGTGGTCTATGGTTTATTTGTAAACTCAAACCTCCTTCAATAATACTTAGAACTCAGTGATTCATGTACACCACTAATAAAAGTTGATTTCGGAAGGAAAATGCTTAGCAAAATGGGTGAATGGAATTCCCTTTGGAAAAGAATGCTGATGAAGAGAATGCTAAAAGGGAGAGAGAAAAGCACTAGGGGAACAAGGATAACTGAAGAGAGGCGAGAGAAGCCGAAGGCCTGCTTCAGATTCAGGGCCACAAAGGTCTCACCAATCCACCAATGAGGTCATCAGAGTAAATGGCTGTGTCATGGCACAGTAGATGGGAAGCAGTGACTCAATGTGTCACTTCTTTATTTTAGATACCACAATAATGCTTACCTTGTTAATTACAGAATTAAAACTTTGTAAATTCTAATATACATGAGACTTCTAAAACAGACCATCAGTGCCTCACTCAATGGACCCACTGCAACTTTTCTCTATGCTTATAACTGTTAGAAAAGATGTCAGTAAACAAACACATCTTTATTGCAAGCAGCAATAGCCTTTCTCAGGATTTAACTCCTCCAATAAGCCTATGCCACGGCCACCAATGGTAACCAGTAATTCTCCTATCTTGGTTTCTCTGTTACTGTACTGCAGATAAGTGAATTTACTGCTTATCAAGTACCCTAGAGCAATAAAAAAACACATAAAGCAAATTATTACATAAAAAGAGAAATAAAACAGTCTTCTCATTTGTTTGTAATAAATATTTCTCCACTGGCGCCGCGGCTCACTAGGCTAATCCTCCGCCTAGCGGCGCCGGCACACCGGGTTCTAGTCCCAGTCAGGGCACCGGATTCTGTCCCGGTGGCCCTTCTTCCAGGCCAGCTCTCTGCTGTGGCCAGGGAGTGCAATGGAGGATGGCCCAAGTGCTTGGGCCCTGCACCCCATGGGAGACCAGGAAAAGTACCTGGCTCCTGCCATCGGATCAGCGTGGTACGCCGGCCACAGCGCGCCGGCCGCGGCGGCCATTGGAGGGTGAACCAACGGCAAAGGAAGACCTTTCTCTCTGTCTCTCTCTCTCGCTATCCACTCTGCCTGTCAAAAAATAAAAAAAATAAAAATAAAAAAATTTTTAAAAAATTATTTCTCATCAGTTATAAAACATAGTACATAAAGGCAGACAAAAATGAAGAGGAAAATGATAGGCTTAGAGTGACAGAGATTTATAAGAAAGACAGACAAGGAAGGAAATAAAACATACAAAGAAAGGGCTATGGACAGAAGGCTTGTGTCTTCCCAAATTTTCTATGTTGAGATCCTAACCCTGAATGTGTGGCATTGGGAGGTGGGGCCTTTGGGATGCAATTAGATTGTGAGGTTTGAACCCTCACGAATGGGAGTCTTGCCCTTATAAAAAGACAGGAGAGGGCTTGCTTTCTTTCTCTCTGCTCTCTCCACATGAGGATATAACTGGAAGATTGTCCATCTGCAAACAAGGAAGCAGACCCTCACCAGGTCACTCAATCTGCTGGCCCCTTGATCTCAAACTTCAGCTTCTATAACTGTTGAGAGATACAGCTGAATAAACCACCTTTCTATGATATTTTTGGTACCTTAAAGAGAAAAAAAACCCACTGACTGAGAAATAAACAAAACCAAAAAAGCTCAAAGACAAATATACTTGAAAATCTTATTCTGTTTCCATTAATCCAACCTGGTATTGCTTTAGGATAAAGTTGCTAAAGATTTTATATTATGTTGATATTCTCAACCAAAGACCTCCATGGAGATATGATACCTTAGTGT